AATTAAAATACAAAACAGTTAGCAAATATGTTTTTGGGGGGTGGCAAAGGTTTCAAACATATGATTAATGAAAATTTAAAAAAAAACTGGTCTTTGGAAGTAAAACTATGGGATATGACTAGTCTAGTAAAATAAAAGAAAGGTAAACATTGACTTTCATGATGTATTTGAAATGCTACTGGGAAAAGAGTTGCTGTCCCACTGGGTATTTAGTCTACATTTAAGCAACCCTACTAACTGAATCTTGAAAATGACATAGACCCAGGTATCAGGCATATCTGTGCAGTATTCAAAACCAGTAAGAGCAGATTTCAAGTAATCACCATCTACAAATTTTGAGGAGCAGCCCTCTGTCTGAAACCCTCAGTCTATGGTTGGAGATGAACCCATCTGTCCACAAGTGCCATCTCCCCCAGGCCTGCTCTCTGCAGTCCCAGGGATGTGGGCTGCATGCAGCTGACCACATTTGTTCTCTAGTAGAGGCTGGATGTGGGTGGATGGGTAGGGATGAGGATATAAATAGCTCCTAAGAACAATGGATACCATGGAAATGCTTCAGAAGCATGGAATATAAAAAAGGAAGCAAGAAATTAAAGGTGAAAAAGAAATGAATCATCACCAAAAATGAAAAATAGTTTGTTCTCTCTGTCCATCATATAGATATATACCTCCCTCTCTCATATACACACAGGCAGACACAAAGCAATGTCTGCCTTACAGTACTAAGTGACAAAAGCAGATTACAGAATATATAAAAGACAATTCCACGTTTTTGTAGGTAAAAATGACAAATCACTAGAAATTTTATGTAGTTTTGTATCTATAAAATCACAGGGGATAAAGACGTAGGTTTGTATATATAAATTAACCTTAACAGTGGTTATCCCTTGGTGCTGGAATTATTCCTTTTTTCCCTTTGTGATTATCTATATATGTATTTTTTGTTTTGGATGCAGCAACTGCCTTGTAACTGTATAAGTTATAAAAATGAAGTAAAATGAAAAAGGTAAAATGTGACAATTTAAAACACTTAAAAATGTTTGCATTTTAACTTGTAAATACACAAAAAGATGGTGAGACTGAGTTATAATTTATCATCAATTTCCATTTACTCAGAAGGTTCCAATCAGTATATGTTAGGCCCTGGGAAAACTGCTATGATTTTTTTTTTCCCCCAAACTATAGCTCAGCTTCCACTGGCTCAAAACTGCAACATCTCGCACCTGCAAGATATAGGAGAGACACTTCTGAGACCATTTGTGTACCATAGCTAGCTACCTCAAGGCCTCTTAGGGAGGCAGAGACTAAAACTGACCACACAGATCCCAGATGTGTTGCCTGGAAGTGATCGTAATCACAAAAACTCAAACCTCAAATAATCAAGATCTCTTTGAGTAGGGCCCAGGTAGGAGTATTTGTTTAAAAATCTCCCCAGGTGATTCTAAATATGCAGCCAACATTAAGAACCATGACCCTAATGGATTAATCTACTAAGGGTCATTTGAACTTGTCCTTTGGAGAGAGGTAAAATTAAAGCAGTGTCTCACCCTGAGCGTTGTGAGAAGCTGATTATGCAAACAGAATAAAAATCATAGCACACAGAGTGGGTACTTCTTGCAAAGTTAGTGAAGTCAGTGGGTAGCCCTCTCTTGTGCTTACTGTAGGACAATCTCGATCAGATATTTCTTGGGAAAATGCTCTATGTTAGCAGATTCCTGTCAAGGTACCATTATTTTACAAAACACAGCAGAATCAAATTTTGATGCTAATGCCAGAAAACTAAAGGTCTCTTGGACATCAGAGGTTTCCATCCATTTCCATAGGAGGATACACATTGATACAAGACATGCTAGACCGTAGCATAACAAGTCCCACTGTAGAGTAGTGGCCATTTGAGTAATTTTTACTCTACTTTAGGACATCATTGTGAATGGATTCTTGTAGAATGTGAAGGCAAGGGAGCCTGCATTCTGGCCCCTGCCCTACTTTTTAACATATCAGAAAACTGAACTTTTGCTTTACATTGGTCTCATAATAGCAGAGGCTGGGACTACATACAGTTTTAATGTGCATTCAAGAATCCCCCAATTTCACTAGAATTTCTTATTTAGAGTTGTGACTTCTCTCCAAGCAGCAGCAATGCAAACAGGCATTTTTTTCTTTTCTTTTCTTTTTTTTTTCTTTTTTTTTTTTTTTTTTTTTTTTTTTTTAACTCTGGTGATCATGATAATCCTAACAGGTTGAAATTGTGTCATTAGCTATCGTTTATTACATTTATTGATGACAAACATGAGCTAACCCTATGCCGCATGGATTTCCAGTTATCATGCATAATCATCAGTAGCAACCTTTAATGGGAAGTTTTATTCGCATTTTACTGTGAGAACACTGAGGTTACACAGACAGAACGTAGACAACTGAAGGTTTAAATCCAGTTCTGATCCTGAGTCTACTAATTCTATCAAGCCACAATGCCAATAACAGTGACTCCAGAGCTAGGTTAGAGGGGGAAATGCCTCACTCATGCCCCATGTGCCCTTGCCGCCCTTGATTTCTGTGTCTCAAGTCCAAGTCCACAGCCCTGGGCTTTTCAGCTACAGTCATCCATTCATTCTTTCAGAGATATACCTGATAGAACTCTACTACTCCAGTTTTTTCATAGCCTGGCTATATTAGATTTATTTTTCTGGGGCATAGTTATATATCTCACCCTGTTTTTAATGGAGTTTCATTTTGCTCTCCAGCGTAATCTCTTCCTGTGGTTTAGAAGAAAGAAAATACTGTTAAGCTCAGTCAGAGTTCTAAACAGATGTTCTACATGTCTCCTTGTGTAGTCGTGGCAATGTATCACTTTCAGACATCTCAGCCTTGTCCTGCCAGCCTCACTCTGCCCCATGCCAAATGCTTTCAAATACCGTGCAATAAGCAAAAACTGAGGTTAGCTTAAAACCACCAGTCATTTTATTCTGATTCTTGAATGCATTAGCATCTGGACTTTGGGAGGGACCACCTGCTCTCAGGAAAACTAGTGCTGTCACATCTGTTCAGCAAGGGAAATGCAAGTGTTCTCTGTTTTAAGAGCTCTGACTGTAAAAAAAAAAAAAAAAAAAAAAAAAAAAAAAAAAAAAAAAAAAAAATCTGACTACGATCATATCAAAATAAACAAGTCATTACTTTTATGAGGACTTTTCTTTTTAAAGAAAGATTTGGCAGAAATTACCTTTTACCATCTCACTTTGCTTTTTCTATTTTAAAAAACAGTGGCCCAGGCTAGGTGTGGTGACTCACGCCTGTAATCCCAGCACATTAGGAGGCAGAGGTGGGTGGATCACCTGATGTCGGGAGTTCTAAACCAGCCTGACCAACATGGTGAAACCTCATCTCTACTAAAAATACAAAATTAGCTGGGCATGGTGGCACATGCCTGTAATACCAGCTACTCGGGAGACAAGGCAGGAGAATCGCTTGAACCCAGGAGGTAGAGGTGGCAGTGAGCCAAGATCACACCATTGCACTCCAACCTGGGCAACAAGAACGCAAAACTCCATCTCAAAAAAAAAAAAAAAAAAATAGTGGCCCATTTGCAGGAGTGTGATTTGCACACATCTTGTGAAAGTTACTTCTAAGACAAATCAGATGGCAAAACACATTGGAGCTGCATTTATAGCACACTGCATTCACATAATACAAGAGCACTCTGCAGAAACCATGTTAAGTGCAGCAATGAGTTAGAGTGGGAAAGAGTCTATGGAGAACTCAAGAGAGCTGTGTTGATCTGCCTGGGAGGGGTGATGGTGCAGTCAGTCAGATAATATATAAGTTTTCAAATGTGTACTGTGCCAGATTTGCTTCAGTTAAAAACATAATCCAAAATGACAGTCTCAACTCACGCAGCTCACCTTCAGGTAAACAGAGATGGGGATTGCGTGGGGTCCCCCTACCACTGTGTGAATGTGTGAATAATTAGCAACACCCTGGATCCCTGTCTACCTCATCTGATTAGACAGTGCCTGACTAGACAGTGCCTCATCTGAACCCTAAAAAGGGACTCATGAGAAGGCAGAAACACCATGCAGATCTTCTGGAATCTTGGCATAGCGTCTGAAGGGCAGTCACCTTGAGTTCCTGCACTGTCGTGGAGTTGTGTGACCAGGTCGGGGGAATGGGGAGAAGAGGGACTGTGGTGTGACACAGAATAAGCCACAGAGGCCCAGTCTCAAAGTGACCCGCAAGATTAGATCATTTTACTGATGGGAGATGGGACAGGAGACAGTGACTGGGGGACACTGGGGGCACTGAGAACATTCCTCAGCTGAGCTCTGACTCCTTTGGCCCTGCTGAATGCCATTTTATCTACCTCATCTGATGGGTGCACTGCTAAATCTGTGATTATAAAATGATACCTTTTCCATCGAGAGAGATGGAACAGATTTTAGCAGATAATGGAGGTGCAAAACAAAAAAGAGTGATTTTTTTTTTCAAAACAAAGCTCTAACTTGTTCACTGTGCCACACCCATACCTAATAAGAATGGATAAACAGGCAGAGTTGGGGACTTTTTAATCCAGGCTATGATTACTGCAAACCAAGGCAGGATCCCTTTAAATATTTATTTGCTGGTTCATTTTTCTATCATCTAGAGTGAAACGGCATCCCTTACCTGAGCAGGCTTCTGGCTGTATATGATAGAGTGACAGGCTGAAAGCTCACTGCTCTCCTCATGCTGATAAGAATCTGGCACACACAACAGACAGAAATGCTAGTAAACCCACAGGAAAATAAATTTTTAAATGATGAAGTAATACCATTTTTTAAATTATTTTTCAAAAGAGAAATTAAAAAAATAGAATGAAAAAAACTATGGACAGTGCCATTCCTGTTGTCCATAAAAATGGAGAAAATGTTTTATTTATAGAGGTAGATACAAAGTGATACAGAAAATATATCTGCTCCATGTAAATTTATTAAATGCAACTTTCTTTTTCTCTTTCTTTCTTTTAGATAAAAAACCTCTTCATGAAATAAAACCCCAAAGTAAGTTATTTTTCCTCTTGTGCATATAATTTATTCTCATATTTGCTGCCTTGCTGTTGTATTTGTTTAGGAGCTAAGCAGAACTGAAGTTCCTATGAAAGATCCAGGGCTTTTGGGGCCTCTCCTCATTGAGTTCAGAGTCACATATCAGAGGTTTAAATCCAAAAGAAATATGCACACCCCTCTCCTCCCTCCCAGTAAAAGTAAATCTCTCCTCTTGATTCTTTCTGCCTCTAAGTCCATTTCTCTGCAAATGTCATCTAGGATTCTTATTTCTGAAGAGATTTATCACATCAAAATTAATAAATATTTGTCAGTACATGCTTTCTTAAAGCAGCCTTGGGCAAAAGCCTGACTACAGGTCTCTCCACCTAGCAGGAGGAGGGGGCTCACCTGAGAGCACAAACCCAATATCTTATATCCCGTGGAGTCCATGGCAACTGGGCAGATTAGGACCAAGAACTACATGGTGAAATAATTATGAGCTGAGGATTGGGGTGTTCGTACTGGCTTAGGCTCCTTGTCCAAGGCTTGCTTCCCAGAGAGGTCTTTGCATTCTCTTCATTTTATGCTTCCTGCAGAGTTGGAGACAGGAGATGGCTGGAATGGCTAGCAATATGGCATGTGACATTATGCTCTTTGGTATCACCTTTTAAACTTCTCAATTTCCAGGCTGTATCAAGAAAAATCAGAATTTAAGTTGGAGGGTCTTAGGACCCAGGAAGCTCTATTTTTCAGAGCTCCTCAGGTGATTCCAAGGTGCAGGTGAGGCTGAGAAGCATGGTCTTGGAAACATTTTTCTCAAAAGATAGATCAGAATCTACGTGCATCAGAATCTCAGGGTGTGGCCAGAGCTTGTTAAATGAAATATGCACCACCTCAGGACAGAACAAGTAAATTTGAATTCCAGGTTGAGGAGCTTTTAAGAATCTATGTTTCCCAAATCATTCTCATACATCAGAAATATGTAAAGGATGCTAGGGAAAGTTCAAGATACTGGGGCAACATTAATACAGCTCTCATCAATAGGAGATTAAACACCAGTCTGGCTGGTTTGGTTTGCAAAGCTTGTGAAAGATGTTCTTGCCTAGCATCACTCATTCTAGTATAAACTGAATGACTTTTGATCTTTTAAATCCTAGGGTATTAAAATTCAAAGAGCTTGGAAGAGTTAATAGCTATTATGAGGTAACTTCTTTGAGAGAATTAAGACCCTGTGAGAACAGACAGAAATAGGTACCTTGGGACAGGGGTCACAAGACATGAGGGAAAAATCCAGTAAAGCCATTCTGTTCCTATTTCCTTATGTTGCTTCAGGAAGGCTGGAGATACAAAGGCATCATTACTTGTTGAGTCTGAGAATTTTGGAAAACAACAAAAATAAACATTTAAACTTTCCCTGCTATCTGCTGCCCACCCCCACCACCCTTACTTCTTAAGTGTTGGCCCTCGATACCGTGCTTGTTTGATACTGAATTTATGGGAAGACCGAGTTTGGGAGCACCTGCCTGTGTATATGTGTGTTCGTGTGTCTATGCATTGAGGGAGAGAGAAACAGGTCACTGAATATTTGGCTTGCACTTGTGTCAAGACTCTCAGGATGACAGGTGGAGTAAGGAGACTCTTAACTTTCTCGTGGCCGCATGGTGCATGCTGTTTACTGATTCTGTCATATAGCACAAAAAATATCATAGGTATCCACGTGGTGGCCAATGTGAGAGTTACTTAGAAATGCATGTGTGTGTGTGTTTTTAAAATTAATTTCATGCTTAGTTTGTGAGTCCTGTGCCATCCTAATTTGGTTACATCTGTACTGCCAGCCATAAACCCCACAGAAGCTATTCCCAGTCCTTAGGGACTTCAGCATTAGTCTTTGCTTGAGGTTCTCGCTCCTGAGCACCATGCTTAATTGCTGGATACTGCAATGGAATCGCTTAAACTGTTTTAATTTGTGATTTCTCTAAAAATAAGACCTTAGAGAATCAATGTGATTGCAAAAGGCTCCCAGAGGAATCCATTCGGGGTTCTGTAAGCTGCATGGTTAGGAGTGTATTATAGAAATTCAGGCTGCAGTTGTTCAGCAAAAGAGGGGCTTAGTCTGAGACTACATGAATCATCACTGATGCAAAATCAAAGTCAATTATGAAGATAATTGAGAAACAACCTGTGCCTATATATAGCTGTACGCATGATCTTCCATAAGGTCTGGCAGATAGAAAACATCACTCAGAGCTCTGCATAGAGTGCTCCATGAGCAGACAGGCAGAGGCATGAGCTTAGAGTTGTGGGGAGGTATAAAAAGAAAGAGAAGTCTTAAGATATCTGTTGGCAAATCCTAATGACAAACTGGGGGAAATAGGTGCACTGCATAGCTCGTGAAAGCACTTATTGTAAATGAGATAATTTAATCAATTACGTTTCCTAATGTACTAAACTGAATGTTTCATTTTCTGCTTCTGCACATCTTAAATTATCTTCAGGTGCTTTATGAGATTTAATCATAGTTAATAGAAACTTCATTACCATCAAATGTGCTTTCAATAAATGTTGTGTAACAATGTCAGGAGGTGCGGTAAAATGTAGTAGATTCTGAATGGCAAACACGCACCCCCAGAGTCAAACTGAAAAATGGTTGCGTTCAGACAATAAGACTCCTTGGAGGCTTGGAGTATGCCATTTTCTGAAAGGCTCTGAGCTTCTGAGTAGCGGCTGGTTTGGTAAGCTTACCTGAAGGGTTGAAAAGGATTTAGCTTTTCCCTGGAAAATAACTCATATTACACAGTCTCTTCATTCCTTTCCATGCAGTTGTGTGCCTAACAGAGATTAGACCTCAGCGTTAACTCAGTTAATAGTTCTAGAGCCGGCTACCTCCAAGACATTTTCAGTTGAATATGTACTAATAACCCTACTCTCAACTTTTTCAGAGTTGAATTTATCCTTCTCTCTCCCTGTCTTTAATCCATTCTTCTTCCTATCTTCTTTATTTCAGGGAACAGTATACCATCAACACAGTGTGTAGGGCAGAAACTTGGAAAGCCTCCTAGATTCCTCTTGGGGATCCAGGCAGGAAAAGGAAGATTTCCTTCATCTCCCTTTTCCTGCTTACTACCCAATAATTCATCACAATCTGGCTATTTTGCCACATACTAGATTTCAATTTCATCAGCTGATCTCCGTCTCCACTCTGCTCAAACCCATACCTTCCTTCCTTCAGCAACTTACTGAGTGCTGACCTTGTGGCTAGGAGGTGTTCTGGGTGGTGAAGAATCAACACTGAGCAAAACACATACAGTTTCTCTTTCTATCAAGCCCACAGTGTTAGGAAGGACAGGAATAAACAAACCAGAAAATGCATAGTGCTAAGTGGACTGGAGATGGTCGTAAGTGTTAGGAAGAGAAGCAGAACAGGGTGGGGGCTCAGATAGGGTCAGAGGGAGTGATACTTTTTGATGTGAAGAGTTCAGGTGTGTCTATAATAAAGTTAAGTTGTTGGGTGTGTTGGCTCACTCCTGTAATCCCAGCACTTTGGGAGGCCTAGACAGATGGGTCACTTGAGGCCAGGAGTTTGAGACCAGCCTGGCCAACATGGTGAAACCTCGCCTCTACTACAAATACTAAAATTATCCAGATGTGGTGGTGTGTACTTGTAATTCCAGCTACTTGGGAGGCTGAGGCAGTAGAAGCACTTGAACCCAAGAGGTGGAGGTTGCAGTGAGCCAAGATTGCAGTGAGCCAAGATTGTACCACGGCACTCCAGCCTGGGCAACAAGAGTGAGACTCTCTTATCTGAAAAATAAAGAAGTTGTGTTTGAGAAGAAACCTGAGGGGAGAAAAACAAGGAAACAAACATTCTGGGTAGCTGGAGGCTGAGCAGACAAGGCAAAGGGAACAGCAAGGCACAAATGCTATTAGGTGGGAGTTTGGTTGGAGTCTCTGAGGGATGGCAAGGAGAGCAGGATGTCCGCAACAGAATCACAGGTGAAAAATAGTAAGAGATCAAAGAAGCTGGGTGAAGGAAGAAAACTTCAGTTTATTATAGATCGCTGTAAGGACTTTGACCTTCACTCTGAGGATGTTGGGAAACTATTCAGGGTTTTTATTCAGAGTGACATGATCTAATATATTCACGGATAACCTCTTAACTAGTGGGTTGAGTGTAAACCTGCAGGGAACCAGAGCAGAAGCAAGATCTGTCAGTGACCTATTATAACGATAATCCTTTACAGTACCTGGGCTCTTAGAGTAATCTGGCTTTAAGATGATTGTTGTTTGAGCCAGCTGTACAGCGAGAGGAATTGTAAAAATGGGTCATATTCTGGATGTCTTTTGAAGGCAGAGACAAAAGGATTTTCTGATGTATTGGGTGTAGAGTACAAGAGAAAGAAAAATGTTATGGATGATTCCAAAATTTTGGCTATGCAGCTGGAAGAATGGAGTTGGCCATTATTGGTTTGGGAAAAACTTGGCGTAGCAAACCTAGAGGAAGAATTAGGAGTTCAGTGTTATAAACTGTGAGTTTAATAGACCTAGTAAACATCTAAATGGAGAGGTTCGGTAGAAGGTTGAGGTTGGCCAGAGAGTCTAGAAGTCAGTGGACTGTGTGGGCTGGTAATATAAATTTGGGGCTTGTCAATGTCCAGATGGTATTTAAAGCCCTTAGGTTGGATGAGGTCACTAGATAGTGAGTGTGAATACAGAAGAGGAAGGACCTGAGGACTGAACCCTAAAGGACATGAACATTTAGATACAGAGGAGGTTAAAAGTCACTGCAGAGAAGAAAGAAAAGTATTCAGTCCATGGAGCAAGAGAAAAACCAAATGTAAGGAAAATGGTGTCCCAGAAGAAAAGTCTAAAAATTCAGACCATCTTCACTCCCACACCAGGATTTCTAGAGTTGCCTCTTCATAGCCAGTCTTGCTCAGCATCAGTTTACCTAATCTAAAACAAGTCCTGACTACATCACATTCCTGTTTAAGCCTTTTCAGTAGCTCAGTGTTATT